TCATTACATCAGTTGAACTGATTCTTTAATGAACTATTAAGAATAGAAAGAATTAACAGAGTTTGCATGAACTCATTGCCATGCTGAGTAACTTAGGCTGCTGATGGATTTTATTCTATTCAAAATGTAGTTTAAGATGCATTCAAAATGAAAAGTGCCGATATTGTCTCTCCTCCTGCTGAATCCTGGTTGGAGTAGTTCAGGAGACATTTTTCTCCCACTCTCTGTAAAATCATTTAGTCTGACATGTTTACCTTCACACACTGACAATGACAAAAACACATTTCAATCCACTGAAAAATCAAACATTTACTGAGTAAAATCAGCAAAATCCATATTTTATTAGATGGTTAATTTGCTAACTGACGGAAGACAAGCTTTGGCCAAGTATTTTCACAAGAAGTACTAAATCTCTTGCTATAAATCTCTAGTTGTATAGTTCTACCACAGCCAAACAGTTTTTGGTAGAATTTTCCTGTGATACATAAACCTGAAAATTAAGTGACACAACAACATTTGAAACTTCTGTTATCATTAAAGCAAAATATAATACAGTATAATTTCTCAGTGGTATATTTAAATGTACTGCAAAATGTATACAAAGTCAGTCCAAGATCAATAAAGAATCAGTTCTGCTTTTTGGACTTTTCCCTTCTCAAAGATACAGGTTTTGTAGAAGACGAAAGTAATTTAGGACTTGTCTGTATGTATCCCCATTAAAAGGCAGTGTGTGATAAAAATAACATGATTAAAAATAATGAACATGTGATGCAAACATTTTGCATTTTCAATAAAAAAATAGAAACTAACCAACAACTAAACACATCTTAGAAGCGGAACACTGAAGCCTGCCATTATATAGCTATGTTTCTCATTCTTTTCTTTGAAGATTACCAGCACACAGAAAATAAGTGAATTTTATCAAAATACAGCACGTTTCTACTAATATATCCAAAAAATCGTTTTCTATGTAAATATTACTGAAAATCAAATAAAAAGAATTAAAATATACAAAGAGTTGTTAAAGGGTTTCAATTAAAATTATTAAAACTATACACAGTACAATAAGCAATAGTTAACATCTTTGAAAGAAGTGCAATAATATTGGCGTTAACTTATTAAAAAAGTACTGCCTGTTTATTACTGCTAGCTATGTATCTCTCTCTTCCAGCTCATTGTCCCAAAAGTAAAGGAAGCTGGTGTTTTTGCTAGCTTTATTAAAAGCATTTACTTTTGGGGTTGAAAAAAGCGCTTATACCTGTCTCAAACTACCAACTTTTATGTAATTAAAAATGAACTGCAATAACTGAATATTGCTCCAATGATAGGCTAATCATTAGCCCTGCTTAAAAACAGTTTTCGGTCTTCTGTGGCACTTTTCCCTGGTCCATAACAACCGTATGAATTATCACTGCAGGTTATGCAGTCTCTATTCAATTACAAAGGAGAAAGATAATGTTTCTGGTAAACAAAATTAATAGAAGCATAACTGAACATTTTATACAGTAATAAGGAACAAAGGCAGCCTGTGGTAAATCACTATTACATTAATGTAGTTAGAAACCCTTTAATGACTCTGAAGTGTCTAGTTCACATTTAATGTTACCTGTAGGAACAGCCCTTTAAGAAACCTCATTACCAATTGGTGGGTTGTAAGTACACCCTCCCTTTGCTCTCCCATCTCACCACAGCAATTCTCCACCACTGCTCAAAGTTTCAAAACTTGCTTTGGTTGCCTAGCTCCATGCGTATGGTTTCCGTTTTGATTAACAAAGCAATGCAAAGGCCAAACAAAATCAAGATGTCTTTCATAATCCTTCCTGCACCATTTGCTTTTGTGTCTGTTTAAATATATATTACAGGCAACAACCTTAAAAACTGGCCATTTCAGTTTCATTTTTAAAATCTGTACGCTTAAAATGGAGTTCTTTTTATAAAGATAAAAGTATCGCCATTTCCACAAAATTCAGGATTTCTATCGCAGAGAAAAATCTCTGGGCACATTTCCACAGTACTGTTGAAAAAATTATGTATGCAAGAAAACCCAACTAAACATAAATCACATGTGGCAAATGAATATTGAATGACTACATTAAGAACAAATCCTGTATAATATCACAAATTTGTAGTTATAGTCTTCCTAAAAAAACACCATAAGCTTTTATTGCATTTTCTATTGGTAGATGTACACTCCAGAACTAAACACTTTTTCTTCTTTCCTGATTCCAGATTTATATAGCAGATAATTATTCCACCTGACCTTTATTCTGTCCAATCAGCACCACCTTCCATCTACCCATTCATCTATACAATGTGCACATAGCAAAGCCAACACTTCATATCCCCATTCATATCTACAGAAGTGGTTCAGCATAACACATTAATATGTGGTGAATCAAAATAAAGGCAATAAACAGCTACAGGATAGACAGCCCTGCCATCTGTCCATTGGCTACGACTGAGGCTTCGCAAAGCCTTGCACGAAGTTTAGTAATGTGTATGAATTATCAAAAAATAAACCTACCATCTGTACAAAAAAAACAACACAGGTTTGTTCTTGGAGGAGTGATCCTTAGATTGCTATAATGCTTAAAAACAAGTTTATTCACCATACGCATTTCTAAAATTATTTCTTGTACGTTCTATACAGTGGTTTTGCCCTCTTTAACCACAAGTTCAGTATTTCCTATACAAATTTTGATCATAATTCTTTTCGAGTTCTTTTAATGTATAAAAATATGCAAAATATTGTTTCTCCTAAGTCCTTCAATGAATCCTGTTGGCTTATCCCCACAATCAAAGGTACTTATGAAGAAACTTCTCGTACAATGATGAGTTCCACAGCATTCTGAAAAGTCTTTAGCAAAGATACAGCTTGTCCATGATCAATATTGATGAAGCTGTAGCCATTAGCCTAAAAGGAAATATTTAAAGCTCAAAATGACAGTCTTATATGCCATATTAGTGAAACACAACTCATATTTCATGTTAGTTTTTTTTAAGCTTTAAGGTTTAAAATAACCAAATTCTATATGAATGCAGAGAATAAAACACAGCAGATTTGCAGATTAGTTGAACATGTATCTGTATGCTACAAAAAAACCCTGAACTACTGTGTCAGCCTTGGAAGAATTTTGCAAATAACCAAAGGAAAACCAAACTTTGAACCATTAACATCACACATCTAATTTATCAGTCTTAATACAGACACACCAGAAAACCCCTAAACCTTGTACAAACCACCTTGTACAAACCTTGTACAAATTTTAAGTAACAGACTATTAGAAATGGCATTTGTGATAAATTAAAACTATTGAAGCCCGTAACAAAAAACATTAATAGCATAGGGAGCCATTTTAGGGTGTGAGACCTGTGGAGGTCATCCCCAACTTGAATGTGCCTATTACTCTAAACAACATTGTTACTGTTGGACAAGTTTGTCTTGGCAAACACAGGCAGGCCTAAGCAGCCTTAAAAACCAGGGAAAACGTGGCTATGGTTCAACTTCTCCGAGTACTACTGCAAATTCACATTCAGTTCAGGCAGCAAAATCTTGCAGAAGGACAGATTCATCCAGTTTAACTGTTATTGCTTCCAGCTGTGCATCCCACCTTTCTCCCTGAGCTGCTTATGTGGTGACAGAGTGAACTTGCCATGCTCTCTGTGCCTTAGCTATGCCACTTTGAAAGCTGCAGTTCCTAATCCCATCACCGAACACTTGCAGTTGTTACCAGCTGAATCCTTGGTTATTAAACCAGTGGTTTTCAAATCTTTCTAGTGTTGCAGAGGAAGATTTAAATACACTGTTCAGAAAGCAAAAGCAGCAACAACCGACCCAAATCATTATTTGTACAGAATGTCCTAGCCCTAGTCTTAAGTCTTACTTGCAATTATCAAGTCACTAGTTGTGTAGAATATTTTATTAGACATACGGATTACACATGCACTGTAATATGCATGCCTATTGCATGTTTTACAGAGAACGCTGCAAAATCAAGCATAAGGAAAGGCATTTTGGAAGAGATGATATTCAGTAAAAAACCCCACAAATTGTCTGAGTGGTAACAAGGCAGAGTGGGGCTGTCATCACATCATCACTGGAATTATCACAGGTATAAAGAACGTGCTGTTACACAAAATATATTCTTAGTTATGAGAAAGGAAGCAGCCTCTAATTGTCTAAGCATGAAAATGCAACTTCACCTTTAGCTCTTTTTCAAACTATGAATTCCTCATTAAACAAAAATCTTTAATTTGAAGAATTAGACTAAGTTTTCAATTTCGCTTTGTTTTAGAAAACTGTTCACAGGATGTGGTTTCATGGAGATACTAGTGGGGAAGGTGGTGTTTGGTTTTGGGTTTTTTGTTTGTTCTGTTTTTAGAAAACTAAAATGCATTAGAGTCAACTTCACCAACATTCTCAAGTCACTAATGTGGTGAATAATTATTTTTAACAAGCTTTGCAACTTAAAGGGTGGCTACAACAATGTTCAAATGTCCCCTTAGCCCATTTCCTTAAGAAACTGTTAATTTCTCTGACCCCTCCCCAGATAGCTTAATGAGTTCACTAGACAAATACAAACAAATCTGATACAGAAGAGGTCTGAAAGGTACAAACACAGATTAAAGAACTACACAGCTTGCAGCCCAGAAGCCATGACTCCTGAACCTGGTGCACTGGCAGCAGATGGGGCAGCCAGGAGGTCCGTGCTGGGACCAGCCAGCTGAGAGGCAGCTTCTGCATGTCCAGACTGCCAGTGGAGGAGAAGCAGCAAGGGCTGGCAGGAACTGCAGGGTGGAGAGGGATTAACAGCAAAATGCAGCTGGGGAGAGGGGCTGTGAGGGGTTAAGTGCTGGTGTTCTGACAACACATTATTCAGAACACTGCATGTGAACAACTATAAAATGAAAAACTGAATGACAGTAAAGCCTACTGAAATGCTCATGTTCCACTTTAAATGACATTGTTTTGTCATTGTTTCTTGTTGTTTTGTTTTTAGAAGTGTGAAAAATGTTCAGAATTTGAAAAAATGATCCACCATGCTTCAGTCCACATCACCTATCCTGATGCTAGGTGGAAGAAAATTAAAAGCATCATCCCAGAATATAAGAAGAAAATCTGGAAAAGATACTGGTAATCTATCTAAAAATTAAACATTCTGCTCTTAGGTGCAAACTAAAAATGAACTGGTATATTACATAGGCTAATTAATTAGGTGATTACAGTACCTGAATTATTTTATCCCCAGGCTGCAGCAACTTAGATGCCGGTCCGTCTGGCTGCACTCTCGTTACAAATATTCCCTTGAAAAATAGAGGTGGAAAACATTTTCACAACTTATTTATGAATAGCAGGACTAGCATCAAACAGAGGTAATTAAAAACATTTTTTCAATTTTTCATCCTAAGTAGGAGAGAATGCAATTTTATTCTACAGGTCTACTGTCTTTTGAGACTGCCTTCCTTTTCTGATTTTAAATCCAGGAAAATTATCTTTAAAGGGGTACTGAGGGGCAAATTCTGAGTTGCTTTGGCTTAATTTGGCAGATGTATATGTTAAAATGTATATGTCAGATGTATATGTCAAAATTAATTATCAACTACCAGAAATAAAGCTGTAGGCTGTGGTCTCTTTTTTAATAGGATTCATAATTGTACCCTCTGTAATTCACTATCTCAAATCTGTTGAGTGATTATGAGAACTGTGCAAGAACTACTCTGCTAGAATAATCCTCTGTGTTGTCATGTGACCTCTGTGGTCACTTACAACCTTGACTTTCCACATCATTTCTCCCCAGTTTTCTCCCTTCCAGTCCTGGAGGTTAGTGGCTTGGGAAATACATATACTTCCTTTTCTCCCTTTGCTAAACGTAAGAAACATTATAAATCAGAATGCTTTTAAAAAGCATTAGTATAAAATACTTACATCATCATCTGGTTTGAATGGATTCCCTCTACCACCAACTCCTCCTGATATACTAAATCCAAGTTCTGGATCCTTGTCAATTCTCACTCGAATCTAAGTAGTTACAACTCAAGTTAGATAAACTGGCTGAAAATACGCATTCAGAGCTACTATCATGAAATTATTACTACGAATTCAGGTGAACAAAAGCTTTACAAAGCAAAAAAAAAAAAACAACCCACCAGTTCAAGAGAGTATTATATCTCATTATTTTACTGCAGAACAAGATTACAATACAGCAGCATCATGTGCTTATGTTTTACTCCAATATCACTATTATTATAATCATAATTCATGTGGGCTTTAAATTCAAATATATTTTGATATTATGTAAATAATTTTAATGCCCCTAGCAAATATATATGCTCCTATGAAAGAACCTATTCCTCATATTTCTTTGCTACCTTAGCTGAATTTTAAAAATCAAATCTCATTCCTACTTTCACTCTTAAGTTCTAAGTATCCAACACTGTCTTCTTTCTCTTGCTAGAAGAGTTGACTAGAAAACTTACTTTACACAGTAAGTGGACATTCTCATTCTAGCACAGAATTTATATGGAGTTCTCAGTATTTTCTCAGAAGACCCAAAACAATACAGAAAGAAGGCTGCCACAATGAAAGAGCCATTAAATGGTACAAGAATTTCTTATATGTTCTACATCTGTCTATCATAATAAAACTGATAATTATCAGGCATGCATAAGATTGCTCACACTTTTTTTTAGAGACTTCTGTTTGTGAATGCACATTTCTACATTTGCAGGGTTTTGAACCATTCCAGATGCAAAGTGCTCCAAGTTGTACAGCTACTTTGTATTTTTTCAGTTACTAGCTAAATAATGAGTTAGGGAGCAATAAATATAGTTGAGAAATAAATTTCCAGCTCAGTAAAAAGACGTAAGTTTAAGTTTCTGGTACATTCTGTTAAAAATCTACCACATTTCTCTCAAAACTGGAAGGAACATGTGATTTGAGTAGAATTTCATTGCAATAACATTGTCTTCTGCTGGAAATAAATGCCTGTATGATTTCTGTCACCATTTACAGAGAAATTGTAATACATGAAAACAATGTAACAATTCACTGCCATTTACTGACAGATGTCATATCATACTAGGTTTTATTCTTACCTCTTGCTTTGCCAACTCATGGCTTTGTCTGGGAGAACACTGGGACTGGGTATAGGGAGGTTGGTGGGCAACTTTCAACATCAGATAATCAATTAATTGCTCTCTAGATGGATGTCTTGCTACTGATGATTGAGGAGGGAGATGATGGACTTGGCTGTAGTTTGCCTGAAGTCTTTGAGGCTGGCACATTTGTCCATTTGTCAAAGGCATCTGAATAACATATGAATTCTCAGTGTCACACATTTAATAAGCAGCAATCTTCAATTCCTTGACTGTTCTTAGTTTTTAGTAACATTACTAAAACTACTCTTCTGGATCACATATAATTATACTCCATTTTCTTCAAAGTTATAAGCTCTGACATACTGAGAACAAATATGAAAAACAAAAACTTGCTTTGAATGCTAATCTACTAGAACAGACTAGACAACCTTTGCTTTTAGCACTTGTTTCACTGAGTTTTCCCAAACATTATTTTCTAGCAGTGCAACTAACAGTATTGACACTTGGTTGGTATCATTATAGTTTGCACTTTCCTTGCATAAAACTCAGAGGTTTTGTAATGATTTCCAGTAGATCATACAAAAGTAAAAATCCGCCCTAGCTACCAGACCAGACAGAAACCATATGCTCTCCAAGCATCCTAAGGTGACCACAAGAAAACCTTCTGAGCAAGTTCACATCCATGCTCAAGATTTTACTATCAAAATTGCAGTATTTCCAACAGATGTTATTCCTCTGTTAACATATGTCACTGATTTGATAACGGTGACAAGCAGCAGTAAAGTACACAACTGTCAAGATATACAGTGCATTCAAACTATGTCACCAGGAATGATGCTGGAGGTGACAATGTTTCTTACTGAAGTCTCACTTACTGCTCAGCTCTGCAGCTCTGTGTTGAGATGGGCAGTCTTTTCCCTCCTTGCCCATATGCCTCATGTTCTTATCCACCCTAATTAGTCACTCATTTGTCTGTATGATTCCAAAAATGCTACAGGCTTGAGTTACAGATTTTTTTCTGCCTGCCACCATTATCCCATTAGTTGTGGGATACAAGGATATTAACATACTCCCTCTCTCAATATTTTAAATAACTGAAGTGTGCAAATTTCAACCTTTAACCATGCTATGTGAATGGACACATATCAGAATCTGTTCTGAGTTTATGTCAAACTGATGCTGAGAAAGGATAATGTATTTAATACATTTTTAGCTTATTTATAGATCAGATGTATTTAATTTACACAATTTTCCACTGCCTTTTCTGAAAACCTGAAGTATGAAGGAAAATTACTTTTTATTGCAATGCCAGAGGTAGAGTTTACATAGGCAAAATATATCCACATGCAAATTCCCAATATCCAGTGTCTGTAGAAATGCAACTGAAATTAGTGAAGTTATAAGAATAAAATCAATTGCTGCATCATAATAATTTACAAGCATCCATTTAGTTTCATTGTAGTAAATCCCACCTCTATAGATGGTGCTTAAGAGATGAATGCAGTGCCCCCTACAAATTCTGGTTTATCATCACAATTTCATCACATTTTTCAAGTTTGTTCTTTAAAAGGTTTAATCAGATTCAGATTGCTTTTCTGAAATCATCTGCCATATTCCAATTTCTACTTGCAAGTACTTGTTTGGCTGCAGATTTTTTCTTTCAAAGCACCTACTGAAGAAAACTAAGAACTCTCTCTCTTGATATAGTTAACTAAGTTTCGTCTTCCAAAAAGAGGATGCTATTTCATTTATACCAGCTTCAAAGCCTGCATATTATATTTTAAAGAAGCCCTAGCTCCAACTGCTATCCCAACATAAATTTGTACTATTAATAAAAAATACACCCTTACCAATAATAGTAAATAATATCCTATCCATGATGTCATGCACATAATTACCTGCACAGCTATTTTCTTCATGCTGTCTGGAGGAACATCTTTGAGACTAAGTGTGGCAGATGAGTAATTCTGCTGTCCTGAAATGAATACTTCATCCTGGCATTGGTCTCCTGGAGTAGATGCCTGAGGATGCTTAAAGCAGAATGGAGCAGTAAAGACAGCTGTCTTCATATAATTCAAATTAAAATATTCTGATAAAATATGTTAAGGGCTTTATCATTCTTTATCTTCTTTTATTAACTAGTAGAAAATCTCACTAGCCAAACCACCATAAACCCATAAAACACTGATGAATATTTACAAAAACTCTCAACTGCAGAGGTGTCTTTAATCACCAGTGAGCTGATGAGACAAGTCAAAAAATGCTAGGGGACTAACTTATTCAAGGATTAAACTTCTGTTGACTTTATCCTGCTCACTATGGATACCATAACATCACTCAGGATGTTATGGTTAAAAACCACATGGTTAAAAAGAGTTAAAAACTCATTTCCTCACATTTTCTTAGAATTTACTATTAATTTTCTTGAATGCCCACAGTAACTTACAGTTCAGTTCATATCATCAGAATTTGATTTGGGGGAGGAAAAGGCATTGTAAGATTTTGTTCAAACCTTTATCAACCTAGATTAAATTCAGGATGGTAATCTCTTGTTCACAAAGGTACAACAAAACCAGACAGTGTGTTTCATTTACAAAAGCCAATTAAAAAACTCAGCTTCATGACATTAAATTGAAAAGCCTTGCAGTAAGTTTAAGGCATATGAAGTGAAGGCAAAGTATTTAATGCCTAAAAAAAATTCCAGCACATAAATTATATTCTTTTTATTACAGCATTGTGCATATGTAAAAGGATAACTCTATGAACTTAAGGACCACCTCAGTGTTTATTCTTTCCCCCTCTACATATTGCAATAACCTCCTGTAGGTACTCACTCGAACAATGTGCACACCAGAACCTCTTCCGTCTGCAACACTCAAGGCAACACTACCCTGGCTGCCATGCAGATCCCTAGAGCTGCCATAGTGAAAGCTGCTAACTGCAGCATAATTGGAATTAAAGGACCGAGACAGCATGCTCTGAATAAAAAGGGGACAGATTTAACACAGAGATTAG